CCTCTAACTGGCGTTTTGGGGTCACTAAATAACCCCAAAAAGTCAATTACGAGCTGCTCCTCACCACAACCCAACCGCGCCCCTCCTAACGCCACCTCAGCGCCGCCATTACACCTTTCACCCCAGAACTACAACTCCCGACGTGCCCCGCGGCGGGGGGCGCCTACCAGGAGCCGCGCTGAGGCGGCGCGGGGCTTGCCGGGAATTGTAGTCCCCGCGGCGGGCGAAGAGCGAACTACCGGCGAGCGGAGGAAGCGGGGGCGGCGGGGCCGGGGCCGGGAACGGGGCAGAATCCCGGGATCGGGATGCGGGCACGGCCCGGGACGCCGCCTCGTTGCCCGGAGCGACACCATGCACCCGGCCGTGGCTGTGGGGCTGGTGTTCGGCGGCTGCTGCAGCAACGTGGTGTTCTTGGAGCTGTTGGTCAGGTGCGGGGCCGCGGAGAGGATTTTGGGGTGGATTAAAGGGTTAGGGAGCTCATCCCGATGGGATCGGGGTGAGGCCTCAGGGTTTGGGAGGTGTTCAGGGTGGGTTTGGGGGATTTGGGGTGTGCGGCTGGCACTGAGGGGGTTTTATCCCCTCAGGGCTGTGGGGCTCCTCATCCATGAGCCCATACCGGGATCATCGCCTTGTGTGGGGTTTTTGGGGTGTTTTTGGGGTGTTTTGGGGTTGTCCCCTCGGTGTGGGCCGTGTCCTAAGCACATCCCATCCCGGTGAGGAAGCTTTTCCTGGGGCCAGCAGGGAATGTTTTCCATCTGGGAGCGCGATCCTGGCAATCGTCACTCGCTGCAAAGTCACCGAGTCCCCTTGAATTCCCACACTGGAGGCTGGTTTTTTGGGGGATCTCACCTTGATGTTTTTGGGGATCTCACCTTCCTCACCCTGATATTTTTGGGGGTCTCACTTTCCTCATTCTGGTATTTTTGGGGATCTCACTTTCCTCACCCTGATGTTTTTAGGGACCTCACCTTCCTCAGCCCGATGTTTTTGGGGATCTCACCCTGATGTTTTTGGGGACTTCACCTCCTCCCCTTAATATTTTTGGGGACCTCAACTCCTCCCCTTGATGTTTTTGGGGATCTCATCTTCCTTACCTTTATGTTTTGGGGCTCTGACTTTCCTCACCCCGATGTTTTTGGGGATCTCATCTTCTTACCCTGATGTTTTTAGGGACCTCATCCTCCTCCCCTTGATGATTTTAGGGACCTCACCTTCCTCACCCTGATATTTTTGGGAATCTCACTTTCCTCATTCTGGTATTTTTGGGGATCTCACTTTCCTCACCCTGATATTTTTGGGGGTCTCACTTTCCTCACTCTGATATTTTTTGGGATCTCACTTTCCTCACTCTGATGTTTTTAGGGATTTCACCTGGCTCACCTTTGTGTTTTTGGGAACCTCACCTTCCTCACCCTGATATTTTTAAGGATCTCACCTTCCTCACCCTGATATTTTCAGGGATCTCACTTTCCTCACCCTGATATTTTTAGGGATTTCACCTTCCTCACCCTGATGTTTTTAGGGATTTCACCTTGCTCACCTTTATGTTTTTGGGGTTCTCACCTTCCTTACCCTGATATTTCTAAGGATCTCACCTTCCTCACCCTGATATTTTTAAGGATCTCACCTTCCTCACCCTGATGTTTTTAGGGATTTCACCTGGCTCACCTTTGTGTTTTTGGGAACCTCACCTTCCTCACCCTCATGTTTTTGGGGATCTCACTTTTCCCACCCTGATATTTTTAAGGATCTCACCTTCCTCACCCTGATATTTTTAAGGATCTCACCTTCCTCACCCTGATGTTTTTGGGGATTTCACCTGGCTCACTTTTGTGTTTTTGGGGTTCTCACATTCCTCACCCTGGTATTTTTAGGGATCTCACCTTCCTCACCCTGGTATTTTTGGAGATCTCACCTGGAAAGGCTTGAGAAAGGGCTGGCAAGGCCTGACTGGGAAAACAGCGATTCCTGAACTGGTTTGGTGTGTAAAATCCCAGTGAGTCAGCGTGGGGCTGCACCCCCGGAGCCCTCAGAGCATTTCAGCTTTCAAAACCAGCCCTTCCTCCCTCCCAGCCCATCAATATCCCAAATTACTAAAGGAAAAAAAAAAAAAAAAGGATTGCAAAATCCAGCAGTTGGGATATTTGCCCCAAAGCGGGATTTTCAGGTGCTTTCACACCGGGTTGCACAATTCCTGGATAAATCAAGAAGCAGTTCCTGGAAAAAAAAAAAAAAAGAGATTTTTGTTGTTTTTCCTGTCAGGGATTGCTCCAACCTCTGCCTTTCCTGCTTGGCTTGTGTTGCAGCATCAGTGACAGAGGAAGAATAAACTCTTTGGAAGCAAAGAAATCTTTGGATTTGGCTTTTTGCCACTCGTGGCTACTCCAAGCAAACCTTAAACTTAAATTCAAAGACTGAATTATTCCAAGGTGACAGAACCCCAGAGCAGCAAATTCCAGAAATGATTGCAGACATCAGTGAAAAGCTGCTTTTCACACAAAATTTTCTTTAAAGCAGCTCCTCTCATCCACTTTAAAAATTCCTCACAGCTCAATTCCTGTGCCTTTTACTTGCCCTGCTCACCTTTAGTCCCAAAATTGGGATAAAAACCAATTATTTCGTTGGGTTTTGGAAGGAAAAATTCCTCCTGCAGGTGAATATTCCCATAACAAACAAACAAAATCCTGGAGCAGGATCCCAGTGACCAGGCTGGTGAGGAATAGCAAAGGTGATTGAGAAGCTCAGGATTTATAAGGAAAATAAAGGAATGTGAAGTGTTTGGTGTCTGGAAATGCCTGAGGGCAGACAAAAGACTTTAAATGTGTGGAGATTGGCTGCAGAGGAGAGAAAAATAGGAAATTTCTAGAAAATAGAAATATTTCTGCTGGGCTGTGGAGGCAGAAATCTCAAATGTCTTGATTTAAGCGGCTTCAATTACTGAGAAAGGCGCCCAAAAAAAATCAAATTTTCTCCCTTTCCACGGAGAAAGAGCAAGGAAACTTCTTGCTGGGAGGACTCTTTCCAGTTGTCTAGAGCTGAAGCAGATCTTGGATTGATAAATCCAGATTTTATCTCGTTTTTCAGGTGGATCTGAGTGAGAATTGTGAGCCAAAAACGAGGCCCTTCCTTATCTCTCTCTTATCAGGCAGCACAAAGCCCTGGGTGCCAACAGTGCTGATAAAGTGGGGTCATGTCCAGGGATCTGTGAGCTGGGAAGAGGCAAAGTCCAGTGCTTGGAACTCGATTTATTCCAGCTTTTACAGCTCCTTGTGATTCCCTCTGGAGATGGGAGGTTGGAGATAAAGTGGGAAATAAAATTGGAGATAAGATTTGTAATCCTGGAGCTTCTGGCTCTGCTTTCCTGTCTTTTCACCGAGGAATTTTTTGGATCTTTTTGAGCCTCGGGATTGAAGTTTTGTGGATAATGAAGCTGGGAATGATGTGGGCAGAGGGGAGGGGCTCAGGGTGCTGCCTATCCCTGAAAAAAGCAGGGGAAAAAAAGGGAATTTTTTTTTTTTTTTTCCCGATTCTTGCATTGCCCAGGTCGCTGCTGCTCCTGTGGGGTGACCAAGGAAAATTTGGAGGAGACAGCTTGGAAATTCCTGTTTTTCCAGGGCATTTCCCAGCTGGAATCCTGCAAAGCTGCATCCAGGGACAGCGTGTTCCATGAGGAGCAAGACTATCCCAGGAATCCTTGGCCTCGGGGAAAAAAAAAAAAAAAAAAAAAAGGAAAAATTCCCTAAATTCCTCTGGTTTTCTCATTATCTGCCCTGTCACAGCCTCCTCTGAGCTTCTGCTTCCCCAAAAAAATCCTTCCCTGCTCCCTGGGAGCTCCTTAGGGAGGATCAGGGGTGCAGGGGAAGGTTTTGTTTGAATTCCCTGCTGTGGAATTCCTGGAAATAAAAAAAAAACAAACAAACCTTGGTTTGCTCAGTGGCATTTCTGCATTCCTGGGTCCCTCTAGGAGGGACAGAAAGGGACTAAGAGATTCCCTTCTGAGCTCAAGACAAAAATTTGTGGATTTTGAAGTTTTGTGGAGTTGGGGTCACATTAAGATCCACGTGGGATTTACTGCCAGGACTTTTTTTTTGGGCTCTTGTGAGGAGTTTAATCCCTTTTAGAACCCACAACCAAACTTCTTTTTTTTAATTTTTTTTTTTTTTTGGCATCCAGACATCCCAGGGGAGCTGAAGCTTTTTTTTTAGAGGGAATCAAGCAAATCTGAAGCAGGGGACAGCACAGACCTGAGCTTGGCACTTTCCCTCCTGCAGCAGCAATGAGGAATATTGAATTTCCAGCTGCCTTTTCCTCCTCTCAGATTACCTGACCTCTACCAAACACTGCAGCTTTTAGGAAAGGGGACAGAGTCTTCCTAAAACCATTTCCCATGGGGAAACAGGGAGATCCAGCAGTTTTTGTTTTTTTTTTTTTAATTTCCTCACCTCACTGACCAGTTCCTCTTACATTTGAGGAAGGGCTCCCTGCACAAATCCAGGTGAATAAAAGAAAATCCTCTCTGCCTGGTTTTGTTGATCCCAGTGTTTGTTCTCCATGGGATGGCTCTGATGTTTGTCTCTCCATGCCTGCAGGCAGTTCCCAGGATGTGGGAACATCGTGACCTTCTCCCAATTCCTGTTTATTGCACTGGAAGGTTTTATCTTCGAGGCCAACTTTGGGAGGAAGAGCCCGGCCATTCCCATCAGGTACAATCCCAAGGTTTTCCCAAAGCAGGGAAAAAAATTCCTTCCAAGCAGCAATTGTGCCTGGATTTCTCTTCTCTCCAAAAAGTTTTGTATTTTCCACTTTTCCTGCATAAATCCCATCCATCCTGCAGCATCTGCAGAGTTATGGTGGGGAGATGTCAGGCTCGTTTATCAGGAATTTTTCATGGGGAATTGCCATCACATTCCTTCCCTGTCACAGGAACAGAGCTTTGCACAGGGAAGAGTTTGCTGTGCTTAAAGAGCTTTTTATCTCTGGGATTTGGTGTGGTGGGAATGGGAAGGGAGAGTTTCCCTGGGAAAAATCACCCAAATTCACTTTTGCATTTCTCCCACTGGGGATGAGCTTGGTGACAGCAGAGCTGCTCCACACCCTTCCCTGCATCCCAAAATCGTTCCTGAGGGGTCTCTCAGCATCTCAGGAGCTTCCTGCACATCCCCCCAGGTATTTTTTCCCCGTGTTTCAGGAACTATTTCATCATGGTTGCCATGTTCTTCACCGTCAGCGTGGTCAATAACTACGCCCTGAACCTGAACATCGCCATGCCTCTGCACATGATCTTCCGCTCGGTGAGACGACTCCCACTCCTCCTCCTCCGACTCCTCCTCCTTTCCTCCTCCTCCTCGTCCTCCTCCTCCTCCTTTCCTCGTCCTCGTCCTCCTCCTCCTCCTCCTCCTCCTTTCCTCCTCATCCTCGTCCTCCTCCTCCTCCTTTCCTCGTCCTCGTCCTCCTCCTCCTCCTCCTCTTCCTTTCCTCCTCCTCCT